CTTTCACTTTGTCTGTACTGCTCCTTTGTTTAATAGATTTTAATTTGGAGCCAATTAAAGGTGTGTTCACACTTGTAGTTTGGTTCTCAAAACAGGAAAATCATTTCTGATGTATAATTTGTGGTGGGCATGGCAAACTTCCAAAATAATGCTGTGTGCTGTGCTAAACAGTTTCATTGTATACCAAGGCTCCATGATATTGGAAAAATACAGTTTTTTTTGTTTTGTTTTTTTGTTTTTTACCTAAACATTTTACAATATGAATGTAACCTTTGATCCTGGACCAAAAAAACAATGCTCTAATCTTTGACCATAAAACAAAAATCTGAAGTTTTAAGAAATATCATGTTGTATGAAGACATTTTGTACTTTTCCTGCTGTAAATATACTAAATGTAATTTCTAATCAGTAATATCCATTGCTAAGAACTTAATTTGTTCAACATTTAAGGCTATTTGCTCTATTTCGATTTTTTTTAACCCTCAAATTGATTCCAGATTTTCAATAGTTGTATCTTTGCCAAATATAGTTAAATCATAAGAAACCATTCATCAATGAAACGCGTATTTATTCAGCATTCAGGTAATCTTTAGTTCTCATTTTTAAAAAGTTGACACTTATCACTGGTTTTGTGTTCCAAGGTCACATTTCACAAAATGATTTTTTAACTACTTGAAAAGAATTCATAATTTTACTTTATTGTTTTTACATAAAATATAATAAACAAACGACTACACTGTAAAACCCAACAGTCAACTTTATCGAATGAAATGAGTGTAGTTATCTCAATTGACTGACAATTAATTCTACCTTTTTGGAAAGAGTTTTGAACTCCGTGTTAAAGGTAATGAGTTAATTAAATACCTCATTACTTCAGCTTAAATGAAGTAGGTTCACAGCACTCATTAGGATTAATTTATTAACTCAAATGGTGTTGTAGCAATTGGAGCAAACGGTTTGAGTTGCCTTAACTTAATGGGTTTTACAGTACTCAGTTGGTTTGAGTTCTTTTCGTTTATTGGGTTTTATTGTTCTCAAATTGATTTGTATACTCAAATGGATTAAGTTCACATTAGGATTAGTTTTTGAACTTAAACGGTTAGTTGCAATCTGTTTCCTCAGATGGTTTAAGTTACCTTTACTTTTTGGGTTTTACAGTGTAGGGTTTCCTGTGGAGTCTTAACAGTGTTGATGTAAACAAATTCAATAATAGAATGTAAAATAACACTTTACTGTATCATTGTACAAACTATTAGATACAATTTATCTTTCCTAAATTTACAAATATTTTCATTTCTTATGACCAAATGTTTAAATTAGTTCAATCTTACACAGTCATGGGCCTTAACATCTTTCTCTCTATTAGGGATCAACTTTGCAATGACGCTTCAAATCATGTGTGTTCTGAACTGATTCCTGGTTAATTATAATCTTAGCCGTGCAGATCCTGTGATTAAAGATATTGATACTGAAACTGTGTATTGTACATCCTTATTGTATACTTGTACAAACGCTGACATTTTTATCAACAACCCATGAAGTACTTGTAGAATGTTAGAAAAAATTGGTACACTTGATCATTCTGTCATTATTTTGGTTGCAAATGACAGCATGTCCTGTGTTTGGTTTTACTTAATTGGCTTAGTCTGTTCATATTTCAGTCAAACCTCAAAAAAAAAAAAAAAAAGCTTTCAGTCAAAGTTGTTTAGTAGTGGTCCATTTTTTAGCAGTCTCTGTCCACTGACCAAACCAAAAGGATTGAGCGTTTGCACTCATTTGAATAAACAACACTAACAGAGCAACCACCACAATTTGTCCTAATTGAACCAAACTCATCCCTTTTACTTTATCAAAAACACCCTAAATAAAGTGCAATAACACACTTAATTTTCATTCATTTGTAGCGGTCATAAAGATGCCTAACCTCACAAAAACGCAGCATGTTGTAAACATTAAGTATATCAGAATGTAATACTATGTTAATTTTATTATACAGCATTTCATGGTATTGAATAATAATAATAATAATCTGTTTTATGGCATTTACATGATACCTTATTACCAAGTTTTCTTTTTTATTAAGTAACCATAACTCTCATAATTACAAAATAGCAAGCACATACTTGAATCTAGGGCTGCTTAATGGCAATGTGTGAATCGGCAATAGACACATCGCAGGATTTGCAATGTCAAGTCGAAATTATAATTAAACAGAAAAAAGTTCCGAGGACATGATGTGATTGCAAAGTTTAACCCTAATATAATGATGTAAAAGATGTTTGATGTGTTTTTAAGACCTGTGACTAAGGACTAACTTGGCATGCTCTGATCAATCGGCGAAGATCGGTATCAGCTGATAATCACATTTCATGACTCGATCGGTACTTGCTGATCTGGCTGCTCTCATGAACTGATCACAAGTGTGATTGCTTACGAGTTCTATGTTTTTCACAATATTGCAAGTTCACTAAAACCTGGCTGGATATATTAAAGAAATGCAAACACTTAAAATGTACTTCTTGTAATATACCTATTGCAATAACCTGAATAGACCTATTTCATTTTAGTAAAGAATTAATGGGTTTGATAGGTGTGCATAAAATATTTTTATCTGTTTTATGAATTCTTTTTTGTAAAGCTGCTTCTTATCATGATGGTGTTTCCACACTAAATCGTTATAAGAGACCTGTTTAAGAGGATGTTGCATATAATCCCTTAGGTTCTCTTAGGTTAGGAGAAGCTTCATTATACTTGGATGGAAAAGGTGCTTTATGCAATGGTACAGTTAAATAAAGCTTGAGCATCAGAATCGGTATTTCTGTATCGACCAATAACCATGACAAGGTATCAGTACTCTCGGCTGCAAAAATTCTGATTAGAGCATCCCTAGTTTTAAGTAAACTTGAACTACTGTATATGGGCACAAGAAATGATAAAGTCTGCCACTTTAACAAAGAATGAATGTGTCTGTATTAATGAAGACTCCATGAAGAGTTATTTTACATGTGATTATTTAATTTCTTTACCTCAATACACCACAAAAAACATAAAGTGCTGTTTATTTCATTTCTATCATTATGCTATTGTTTTCATCAGGGCTTTAATTAGTATTTTTGGGTAATTTTGTAGATTTTTTGCAGATGAACTTGCCTACAAAATCCCAATCAAAGGAAAAAGAGGAATTCTTTACAAATAGAGTTCCTAAAGTTATCTTGTGAAATTATATTCATATCATAATATGAATAGTAGAAAAAGAAAATATTGCAATGTCCATTTTTTTCCAATATCTTTCAGCCATATTTGGCTCATAAATTACTCTGAGAATAAAATAATGGACTTTATTGCATCTTTTAGTAACTAGCCATGTTTTACTCTTGCTACTTTTACATAAGTGGTTGATCTGTGGTAGCCTCTTTTTTATTTTTGGTTTAAATAAACCCACATATTGGCAATTTCAGCGCAGTCGCTACTAATATTGACATAATTTGCTTTGAACTTCCTGTACCATAGACTTACGTGCAGCCCATTCCGTCAGGACATCTTTCTGTTAGATTGTGCTTGGGTAGTTTCCACCCGCTGCCCCTTCCTGAGTGACACAGGAAGTTGCAAGGTTGTGCCTGCCCATTTGGCAGTCGATGCATCGTAACTGGTTTCCTGTACACCCACCTCTCGTATCCCAGCAGGCCTCAAGCCCTATTATGGACAATTAACATCTGTCTGCTGTGTACGAAATTCCACAGCAGTGTGTGGCATATCCTGCTGCCTCATTTGGGAACTTTTTATAACTGACGTCATAAACCATTTGGTTGGCTGAGTAAAGGCTCCACCTTCATGGTAAAGAAAAGAGACAATAGACGTTCTATATTAGGACTTGTTCTGTGGTCAGAGCATTTGCTCTCCCCCAAAATGAGCTTGGTCTGAAACAAAATGGGGAAATTGTACTCTGTGGAGAATAAAAATTTTAATTAAAAATAATTGAATGGGAATGTATTTTTTTTATATCATAATACATTGAAACAAAATATAATTCCCATAAATCTTTATAATAGCTACACACTATGAATCATTTATTAAGCATTAGCAAATAGGTAATTCATTATTTGTTAAGCATTAACTCTGCATTAACAGATGGTTTATAAAAACAGCTACAAATGCTGTATTCTTGACTTATAAACATAATGTGCTTAATGGCTGCATTTTCTTACTTTGTTAATGATTTATTTTTTTATTACTAAATTAGGTATTGCATTATTTACACACCAGTTATTTAAGAATAGTTGGTGTTTTTAAGAACATTCAAAATGTGTAAGTAAATGACAAATAAACTATTTAATTCAACATTTATATATCTTATTATTCAGGCATATAGTAATAGTTACTTTGCATGTTAATAAACACTTTATTAACACAACTTTATTAAGTTTTGTGACCTTATGTGAAGACTGTTCTTGATTTATAAATGCCTTATAAATTATATTTTATTATAAAGTGTTGCCATAATTCCTTTTTACCATAGAAATTAATTAATAATGTATTTGTAATACACTTTTTAATTAATTGTATGTGATTACATCAAATATGTGTTCAGAAATCCAACAAAATTACATGATGTAAGAGTTATGTAAATCTCAGGGATTTTTGGGGTTTTGAAAAGACTGTGAATCTCTATAAAACTGTACGAAATCATAATTTGGATGGTAAAATTGTTCAGAAAGTGAAATATATTTTGATTATCAAAATGATGATGATAATAATAATAATGTTTTAAGCTGGTTTTATTTGTTATGTAGGTTTTATACTTCATTTATATTTTATGTATTGCATTTCACACAAGGAAACCGTGATTAAATGTTCCCTAATCTGTTATAGTTCATGTAATGGTTGTGGTTGTGACGGGCCATTTAAAAACCCAGTGTGGCTTGTGTGACACTTTTTTTTTTTCAAGTCGATTGTAATCATTGTTATACAATATCTTATTTGTCGTATGGTTGTCTTCTCAGTCTGTAGATGATCGAGATCCTGCTCTGTCCTCATGGCGCAGGCAGCCTGCAGGTGACTTGGACCCATACGATAGGCCTGGGAGTCGTGGTGCCTGGTCCAGCAGAAACCGCACAGCTGATGGAAGCCGGTCGTGGTCAAATCGTCATCTGGACAACTGAACCATATTGCCCACATTTCCAACTCGAGGTATGCGTTTATTTAATCTTATTCATTTAATGTGCCCCTATTATGCTTTTATTTGAGTATTGCCATGAAGTGTGTAAAGTAACCCTTGATGAATGTAACGGATAAAAAAAAGTAACTACTGCAACAAGTCTTCAGCAATTACAGTTTCACTCCTGTAATTAATCTGCAAATTAGACTAATACCTGAAGGTCTTCATTGACTGCCCACAAACAACATCTACTTTAAACCACAATCGAACACTTTAGCTAGTTCATTTTGTTAACATCAAATTGAGTAGGACATGAAATATTGATCTTTGCATCAACTTTATCGGTCTTTACAAAAACTCTAGCTGCAAAGTTAATCTCTCAGTTATAGAATTTAAAATTAGGGCTGTGCAAATATTAACATTTCGATTTCGGGTCTCAACATTCACAAAAACTATGCAATATATATATAAAAAACGAATTTACTTGCATCAATTTGTTAAACTATTAAACTACTTCATTAAACTTTTTAACTTGACTGCTCTGAATGATGCACACCACATTCTTGAGCTTTTTTCTGGATGTTGTTATGCTATTTATACATTTTATTTTATTATTTTTTATGTTTATTGTTGACACTTACTTTAGTACAAGCATACAATATTTCAAGTTAAATAGATTTCTGTATGTGACCTTAAATGACATACAATTTATATACAGTATTGTCAAGTGTACTAACTATACATAATACTTTAATTTTGTTAAATTAAAAAAAAGAAAAATAGCAGAAAAATCAACAGAAAATAATAAAAGTAATAATAAAAAAATGTAAAAGACTATTTATATGCAGAGTGAGAACATGTATCCTAATATAATTCCTTCCTAAATATTCTTGAATATATCTTAATTATACACATAGGTATTACACAGAATATTTATATTTATAACTATATACATTACCAGTCAAAAGTTTAGGGTCAGTTTTTTTTCATGTTTTCTTTTCATGTTTTTTTTTCTTTTAAGAAAATTATTCTGTTCATCAAGGCAACATTTATTAAATGTAAAATTTTAAAAAAATATTTATTACAATTTTAAGTAACTGCATTCTTATTGTATGTAGTTTCAAATGAAATTATTACTCCAGTCGTTGTTGCTTTTTTAACTACTACTATTTATAATAATAATAATAATTATTATTATTATTATTATTATTATTATTATTATTATTTATAAATAATATTAGAGTGATTTCTGAAGGATCATGTGACCCTAAAAACTAGAGTAATGAAGCTGAAAATTCATTGCTAAATCACTGGAATTAAGGATTAATTTTAATTTTAATAATTATTTATTTTATAGTGCACAACATTTCATAATTTTACAATTTGTCCTGTATTTTTGATTAAATGAATGCATCTTTGGTGAGCAGGAAAAGCTTATTTTAAAACATTTAAAAATCCTACTGACCCCAAACTTTTGACTGTGAACATAGTGAACGTGAACATAGACACACATTATCGTGTATTTATCTATCAGTTGAGCTTTTTCTGTTCATTTATAGCCACAAAATCTGACTGACTAATCTAAATGTTTGTGAATGGTTATTCAAACTCAGGCTTGAATTTATATGGTAAGATTAACAAAATCATTACTGCCCAAGAGTGTGTACAATCACTGGGGATTTGAGCTGAAGTTCAGATATGGACCAATCACAACAAACTGGCCAATCAGAGTAGAGCAGTAATGCATGATGATTAAAGAACGAACTGTCAAACAAAGCATTTGAGATGCCATTTAGCTATTTGTTGATTTGAAATTTTGTAGAAAATTGAACCATTATTGTAAACCTATAAACAAATCCCCAAAATAAAATTAATAATCCTTAAATCACTGTTAATAGGGGCACTTTAAACAAAAGTACACCATAGAGAATTCTGGGTTATATTTATTTAAAGCAATCTAGAAGCTAATTAATCACATGTTAATAAGTCCTGACCTAAAGTGTCATTGTCTTTTTATTACCGTAGTTCTTACATCTCAAAGCGGCTCCTGTGTTCAAGGAATGAAGATCATCTCATCTCTCAAAGAACCGTCACCTGATCAGATTTCCAGGCCAGAGTGACCCCTGGGAACTCCATAGTACTCCTACATCAACCAAACCTGTATGAATGCACCTTCTTCCAGCCATCACTTAGGGAACAGAAGCCACATGAATCCTCTTCTGCTCCTCATCATGTATTAAATTCGCCAAACGTGACAAGGGAGAGGCACAGACATGTGACTGTCTTGATGTTGGGAGAATGTGAAAGGGCCTCAGGTTCTGGTAGATGTTAGAACATTGAGTTATTTACATAAGGAGCAAGTTACAGCTCGTTGGTTTCCAGCTAGTTTGACAATCTCTCACTTTTGTTTTGTTTTGTTTTTGATCTACGGTGTTTATTTCAGGAATTCGTCAGGATTATTGCACACAAATGATATTTGCCGATCATCCAGGCATAGGTGTACACATAATTTTCCCTCGTGTTGTTGGAGCCCATCGAATCAACTACATTATAGAGGTTTATGTTAAGCCAAAAGTCGACAGTATAGATTGATGTACATACACCCAATTTTTCATCCTTAAAGCGCCTTGAGTCAAGTTTGATCCCATTTGTAATTTGCTCCTTGTATTTGATCATGTCTGCTAGTTTTTCTTCATCTTTTTATTAACTGGATTGTATGCTCTCACAGCCAGCATAGCAAACGGGCCACCAACACTACAAAATCTTGGCAAATGTGTTTGCATGATGACCCTTCTCTGTCTCAGTAGCTCCAAAGGGATGCTTACTTTGGATTCCGAACCACCGGGAGTAATACGATCATGTTGAGCTCATCCGGATGTGACCTCATCCATCTAGGTAGCTTAACCCAAATGCTGGACATTTTATGGAGGATATCTAGAGCTGACTCCTCAGAGCCGCTCTGTGACTCTAATCGCAATCTTTGCACAGAAAAACAATGATCCAAATCCTCGGTGTATCACAGGAAATCAGCATTTGGGATTCTGCTGGTATAATAAAACCCCTAGATGGGTCCAATTTTCACGTTTTTTTAGCCGTAGAGCTTGAGGGTGACTAGCATGACACCACAGAGGATCCAGAATGCTTCAGTTAGGAATGCTTGTGCCTGGATAAATGGCTTCACCATCAATAACATTAGAATGTTGGACACTTGGTTGTCATGCGTTTAGTACTTGTTAAAGTGTTAATGAATAGAGCTGCTGCAGTTCAAATGTACTGTTTCTATTAGGTTTTAAACTCTAGTTTCACATTCAGGCTCAGATTTCGCTCTTGAACATTACTCAACAGTGACTGTGTGCATTAATATCGCTCTTATCCAATACCATGTCACAGTTGATGATGAGGTAGGGTCCATTATTCCTCAGCCCACCAGAGGAACTCGATCTCCAATGCCACTGGAATGTGAGATGTTTTATTTGATCAGTTTTTTTTAATCCAATGCTGTATTTGTGTCTTGTTGTTATAGAGTTCGATGTTCAGGTGGACAGTTTCCTGTCATTGTAACGTCTCGCTTGGTTATTACAGCTAGAAAAAGATCCATGCCACATGATCATGCTCAGTTTTGTATCGCTTTCCTACGCTCATGTGTAGACATTCATCCATCTGCCATGGGCTGGAGGGAGTCTTTGAAACTATTGATCTATCAATTAATCTATTTTAAGTCACTCTAATGAATTTGTAATTGCACTTAAATCATTAAAACACACTTCTAAAGTAAGAAAACAGACTATATCTTTCAGGAAATGATTGTGATTTGGATTATGCGACAAATGTTGTGGCTTATCGGAAGAAGAAAAAACATACAAAACATCATCAACACCCAACTTAAAACAACCCTCATTTAGCAGCAAGCCACAATTTGGCTTTGTACATCACAGATTTGGCCGTTGCTTTGTTCTGCATGGTAAAAACAAATGTGTGTCTATCCAAATGTATATCCCAGACTTCACCTCGACTTCCCGTGTAGGGGTCTCCTTCTGCAGCAAACATGCTGTCTTCTGTATGTCTTGTCCCTGCTTTCCCAGAATACCCCAGTGCCCTGAGCTGCTGTAATCCAAGCTGCCGGTCCCTAAAGCCATTTTATTGGCTGGCTAAAGCAGTGGCAGCGGGCCTGATATACGGCCCCCAGGCTGGTTGCAGGTTAAAGGTCAGCCATGCATTTGATGGGCTCAGAACTTCTGAGGGAGGAAGTGGGAGCAGCTGGCAGCACAGGAGGAAGCAGAGTGGGTGAGCAGCCAATGGGTGGTGTGCAATTCACAGAGATGGAGCCAATGTGTGATACTAAGAGGGTCAGCTTGGGAGGAAAGGTTTCAGCCGTTTACTTCCGTAAATAGAGCTGAGCATTATGAACTGTAAAACCCTCTCTAAAAAAATTCAACCCACTCAAAGCTTGCAAACACAATCCTACCGCTGCTGCATGAACCAGATGGATGTGATGATATAGAGCAAGTCTGGACTGGAAACACCAGCAGACTCTACATCTCCCCTCCCAACCCCCCGGCCAGGCAAAGGTCTCTTGGCTGCTCTGAGACTTCAACCGCAGCTGTCGGAAACCCTTGTTTTTATGTGCTCACAAGACAGTCCAGAGTTTGAGAAGGAGTCTTCTTAAAGAGACTGACTGAAACCGCATTTCGCATGGAATTCTTCCTCGTTTCTCAAGCCTATTTACTAACGTGTCAGTGTGCCGTTCGCTCTCAGAAGTCATCCAACACATGTCTCTGATTTTCATTCCTCCGCTTCTGTCTTTAGCTCTCTGTGGAAATAATCGGCGTGATATTTGGTTACACATCTGAGAATGGATCAAAGGTTATGTAGTTTCACTTATTGTTCATTTAAAAGAACCAATGGAATCGAATTTACATCAAGGTTTTCCCCTCTCTACTTTAGTGCGCATTTCAGGTAGACGGAACTTAACCTAGCTATGGTGCCAGTCGGTTAGCATTACTACTAGCTGGTGTTGACTCGGAATGGTTTTTAATCATTTTTAGTGACGATTTTCTAAGCCTTACAGAGGAAAGAAGTTGTAATTATTTTATAAAAGTCATTTCTAAGCAATAAAGTAATATTGAATGTACAGAAAATAGCAATTTAAAGGCTTTGCTGTGTTATGCCTGCACTGTGAGCCGGCATTGACCCTGAAGGCCAAAAATACGTCACGTGTAATGAAATAACACACTTCAGAATCTGCACTTAACCAGCACTTAACTTAAATCACTCTTTTACCCTTTTCCTCTACATTTATGGATTTGATTTTCTAAAAAAGCCCCCTTTTTATTGTTTTGCCCCTGTTAAGTGAATGTACAGCCATCAAAGATGTGTATATATATTTGTGTGTGTGTGTGTGTATGTGTGTATGTGCGCTGGCCAGAATGACAGAGTAAGTTTGCCTGCAGCATCTGTGAGACAGCTCTTGTATTTTTCTGGGTTGAGAAGTAGACTGTCCACCATATTTGTATACTGCGGGGTGTTTTAATTTAGTTTGTGTCATTATTCTTTTTTCTTTAAGGCCAAGTGTGCTCTGTTTTATTTGACACATAATGTGCCAAAAATCATTCCAGTGTATTTTTGTAGTTTACAAAGAAACAAATGGCTTCTTAAAAGCATTATTGAAATTTAAAGGGTAAATATTTCTGTTGTCAAGCTTTTCCTTTATTTTTTGCCTTTTTGTCAAACTACAATCGGATCAGTTTTTATTTAAAAGTATCTTGTAATTTTGTAAAGTGGGCCATGTTTAAGATCTGTTAAGATTTTGTTCCCTTTTTTGTTTACTGTGTAGATGTGTACCTTATCGGGCTCCTGGAGAGTGTGTTTTCTTTCTTTTTTGATTTATTATTTTCAATCTTTTGTTTATTCATCATTTGTATGAATTATTAAAGACAGTAAACTCAGTAAAAGTGGTAAATCACCAACTTTTCAAACATTAACTATGCTTTTTTTCTTTCAGACTAAGGGAAATGTTTAGGTAAAGCTATTCTTTCTTTCTTTTTAATGCATACATTGAGCCAGGGGCTCAGTATGGTTCAGTTCTGTACTGTTCTCATCTTTTATTAACCGCTCAGACTGTGGGTTTCCCTTCTGTTCATTCAGGGTTCATTCATCTCCTGTGCCGTATTAAAAGCGCTGCCAAAGACAGATTTCAGGCCTTAAACACACAGGCACAAACATGCTGTAACACACACTAACTGAATTGAAATTCACTGATACCTGCTTGTATATCTCTCCAAACACACTCCACATATAACTACAGGCCTGAGTAGTTCAAGAAGGGAGACAGAAGTTGAGAGCATAATTGTGGTGTTTCTCTGATAAAGCAGTGTTTGTAAATGGCTATAGAGTGAACCTGCGGTGAGGACACAGGTGAACGTGCTCATTGTATTCAGCCTTTCAGTGTCAGCAATAACACACACGCACACACTCTCTGTATTTCAGTCTTACACCTTTGTACTGTAATATTTGTGCATGTTTCAGCTTAATGTTTCAGCACTGTGCATGGAGCTACACATCTCTTTAGGCTGAACTGCAGGCTATATGTATTCCAGCTAATATAATAAAAGCAAATTGTTTGTAACTGGTTTGGTTTTGTGTGTTTATCAATAGGTTTTTATTTATTCGCCATCGAGACTGTAGTGATGATGCCATGCATGTTCAAGAACTAAAAAGTTATGTTTGTCTATCACACCCATTTGGTTTACTCTGCCAAGGCACGTTCTGTGTAATACCATAAAGACGTAAATGCAAGTCATTGGCTAACACTATATTCTAGTCATGAAAGTAAATATTACATGTCTGACTGAAAATTAAGGGTTTGTCAATACAGCACAAGATGCATTTTCTTATCTTTTACAATTTATACATTTCAATTAATTGAGTAACTTGTTATTTCTTTGTAATTATATTTTACATTTATTAGTATATAATGTGGCATGATCACTAAATTTATGTACAGTATGAATAGTCACTTTATTATTGGTTATAGCCAGGGCCAGATGGAATCTGCGGACGTTTTTTGCAATTTCTGCAGAGAGTTTTGGTGAAAATTTGCAGATTTCTGCTGAATTATTTTGGGTGTATAGTAACTAAAACCTTAATATGTGAAATATAATATATTTGAAACTTTTACTTAATGCTTAAAATGCAGATCCAATTAGATTCACTTTATTCGGTAAACAAAGCAAGTCTCTCATACAACATATCTACTAAAAATCACTAAAAACTAATTAATCAAATAAACATTTTCATATTAGTCAATAATATTACTGTAATTACTTTAAAACTAAATAAATATAGATTTACAGACATTTACTCGAGTAAATAAACAGAATTAATGATGGGCTAAAAATCTGTGGAATTGTGCGCACACAGATTCTGTGTGGGCCTAGTTATAGCACAGAACAATCATTAAAGAGCCCTTATTTTTGAAAATATGCTGTGTTTAAAACTATTGATTCTTTAACAAAACAGTCGACATCGAATAAATGAATCGTGTTGGGTTTGGATTTTTTGCTTAAATGCTTTAATGTCGATTCATCAAATATGTAGTACCGGATCCAGTAAAACGTGAACACGCCTTTCCCTTCAGGCACTAGTGGAGCGTAAGGGATCACTGGACTGATCATGACATGAAGATGACGATCACTAATAGATGGAGATTCATTTGATATAATTTTCACAACCTTGGCACAGTATAGCCAACCTAGTGCTGTGTGTGTTCCTGTCATATTTCCAACACAATCTCAAGGCAATTCATAACTTTTTGATTTAGTGGCTAATTCGTATGAATTCGTACGATCTAATTTGTATAATTTTGTACGATTTGCTCATCCCCCAATGACGGGTGGGGTTAGGTGCCACACCTTTTTAAAATCATACGAATTGTATGAATTAGCCACTAAACTGACAAAACGTAAAATACTGAGTTCAGGCTGCACATTTCTGATCATTTATACAATAACCTACCCTGCAACATAAGATACCCCGGCCATTTGCTTGAAGGAAGGAGCAGCAGAGATTGTTATATTTGGGACTTTGTCAGTAACTTACAGTACACATGAAGCAATTTCTTCTTCCTCCGGATCACAGGATTAAAAATTGTTGTCTTGTTTTTTGTAGTTTGCAAAATATGTATTTGATTGTGTTTTGTAACTGCTCCACACGGCTTTTAATCAATTATCTATTATGGATCAGTGCTTGTAGAGTATCTCTCATGTTCAATCTTTATGGGGATATTCAAATTAGTTTTAACTTTTGCCACTGTGGGAATTAATGTTGAATTTGTGTCAATGTTATTACTTGGGGTTAGCGTTAAAAGTAGACTAATATGCTGTTGTTTAACTGCATTGCATTCTGGGCTGTCTCATACTCTGTGCTCTGAGCTTTCCTTTTTCGTCTCGTGCTGAACCCACTCGACCAATCACAACCAAAGGATGGATTTGGAAACAAATGACTCGCTGAAGGAATCATATGGGAGTTGTTGGGATAATTAGGTAAAAATAAATGCATATTATAAGACAATGAAAGTGTTTTTTTTACTTTGCATGCAGATCAGCCTGTTGTTGGAGCCCCCTAAAACCAAAATATGACCTTTTATAATGCATAATATGGGTTCTTTAAAAGGATAGTAAAAAAAAAAAAAAACCCTCAAGGGGTTCCAAACTTTTATGAGTTTCTTTCTTTTGTGGAACACAAAAGAAGATATTTTGAAATAAGCTGGAAACCTGAAACAATTGGCTTACATAGTAGGAAAAACAAATACTGTGGAAGTCGTTGGTTATCTTCTTTTGTGTTCAACAGAAGAAAGAAAAGTAAAACATGTAAATGATGACAGAATTTCCTTTTTTGGGTAAACAATCCCTTGAAATGAACATCAGATGTTCCTTAATAATCATATAGTCATAGTTTGATAAGAAAAACAACTACACAGTTTTTCTTACAAGAATGTTGCAAATACCTTTTTTCATACAAAATTCTATGCTGTTTCCACATAATGTGAGGTGTCTTTTATTGTACAACGGGGACATCCATAAAGAAATATAGAATGATTGTAAAAACTTGTCGTTATTGGGCTGGGTATGAATGAGTGTTTTTCTGAAGAGTGTTTTACAGTGACCTGACGCTTGAACTTCCTTTTAAGTCATCAGTTCACAGTAAATGTATGGACTGTGTTTTATGGCCTGGTACTGATAAGTATTGGCATAGATGTTTAAACAAAGAGATAACTACAACTATCTAGATATAAAAGCACTACACATCAAGATAAATATGACAGAATACCGCAGAGAACTTTATAACTCTGAGAGTTCAATAAGCATTAGAATGCACTGTTTGTCCAAGTCTTTGAAGAGGCTCTTAAAACCTTAATCCTGTTCTGAGATCGAAAATGTAAGAATTGTCAGCCTAACAGGACAGGAATTTGAAAGACATTCAAATTTCGATAAACTGCTGGATGAGAAAAGTCTAGATTGTAAAATCAATCTTGTTCCCGCCTTTCTTCCCATCTAGAACATTTATCAGCATTTGTAAAGAGGTTTTTAAAAGCATTTTAATCGTGCATTAGCATAAAACTGAGTAGGTGTTTTAAAGACTTTATTGGACATACCATTTGTGTGCATATACACACATTGGCTATTATCAGAAGGTACTCCTTATATCAGGTGGACCCTTTTTGGGATATTGCACAAATCAAGCGATTAGGCTGAGATTTTCAAGCTATCCTGGCTGAATTTAGCCCTGACACAGTTACATGAAAACAGGCTAAATTAATCTTACTATAGAGTATTTGTTCTTTGCAGAGCACGCCAACAACAAGACTAAGATTAAAAGTGATTCATCTGCTACTTGTGCTGTCAGTTTTGCAAGAAATAACCATTGGAATTATAATATGTACATGTTGATATATGATGATATATATATATATATATATAGTTCTGTCTAGTTCTTGAATTTAAGTGACTGATAGCTTTGCGATATCCTTCAAATAACCCTGGTATAGCTCCTTCTCTCTTGTGTATTACTCCGCCCACATACAGTGACAAGAAGAGGACACTCTACAGTTTGACAAATATTGCTGCTGTTGGACAACAAAATGTACTTTTGAGACTTTTTTTGTGGAGAATGTAGTTGTTTAGATTGCAAAAAAGTTTATTTATAAGGACAGTGCCTATTTTAAAATATTTATCATTTCGGAGATTCAGTGCATCATGTTTGCTTTGCTCTGGCTTTTTCGGGGATAATTATTGTGATATCCTGATTGCAACAGAAATACTGAAATTTCTGTAAATTGATGGCATCACATGTCATTTAGACTTATAATCTTAAAATAAGAGTAAAAATCCCCTGTTTTGTCATCGCTTTAGACATTAAGCTAGAGAATCATTCAAATTCTAGCTCTAAAGTGGCATTTGTGAAGTAGCACTTTCTGCAGTTCTGACGTCAGCTGCAGATGTGAAGGAATAGCAGAAGAAAAGAGTTCCTTGTATAAATAGGTTTATCAGTGTTTGATTTTCTTTTTTATACACTATGCTGTCACACTGATGTATAAACGCAATATCACACAAGCAGCAAAACGAACTGGCTGTATAACGTAACTGGTGGGGGTACTAAGGCATCAGGACTGCAGCCTTGAGCCAACGCATGCCTCCCACCATAGCCGATATACAGCCATATCGCACTGCTACTCGTGTGATATTACTCTGAATTTCAAATCTAATTTCTACACATTTAATAATATAAAGTTTTAATATTGTATTATTTAATAATCGATGACAGTACATAATATTTTATTGGATATTTTTCAAGACACTAGTTTGCAGCTTAAAGTGCAACCTTAACCGGGTCTATTAGGTCAATTAGGCAGGTGTAGGTAATTAGGCAAGTTATTGTATAATAATGTTTTGTTTTGTAGACTATTAAAAAAATTCCTAAGGGGGCTAATAATATCGACCTTAAAAAAGTTGAAAAGTCTTCATTTTAGCTGAAGTAAAACAAATAAGACTTTCTCCAGAAAAACATTCCTGTTAAACATCTTCATTCATTTATTTTCTTGTCGGCTTAGTTCCTTTATTAATCCGGGGTCGCCACAGCGGAATGAACCGCCAACTTATCCAGCAAGTTTTTATGCAGCGGATGCCCTTCCAGCCACAACCCATCTCTGGGAAACATCCACACACACATTCACACACACACACACACACACACACACACACACACATACACTACAGACATTTTAGCCTACCCAGTTCACCTGTACCGCATGTCTTTGGACTGTGGGGGAAACCGGAGCACCCGGAGGAAACCCACGCAAAGGCAGGGAGAACATGCAAACTCCACACAGAAACACCAACTGAGCCTAGGTTTGAACCAGCGACCTTCTTGCTGTGAGGCGACAGCACTACCTACTGCTTTACCCTGTTAAACATCTTCTGCACTGTAAAAAGTGCTACACTCACAAAGTTGGTTCTATCTACTTTAAATAATTGCAATCTAGTTAATTGTATTTGTTTTATACCAAAAAAATAAAATTTGCTTCCTCTTTACTTAAAATATATCAGTTTTTATATAACTGTATATTTT